AAACATGGGAGGCATCAAGCAGCCTTTCAGATATTGTACTATAGCTCCTGAAAGCCCAAAGAGTGGCAAGGAAAGAGGCAGGTTGATGTCTGATAACCTTGAGAGGTTCCAGTGGTTGCCCAAACTTGTTGCAAAGCATCATGTGTTTCAGTCCTGCAGTGCAAAATCCAGTACTGCCATTAACTACCAGCCCATCCCTCCAAGTGGATCAGTGCTGCTGGAATTGGAAAAAAATATGGAAAAAATAGACCCCTGTCTGATCCCACAGCAAGCTGGCTTCAGGAAAGGCAAAAGCTGCACATCGCAAGTGCTGAACCTGACTCAGCACATAGAAGATGGCTTTGAAAGGCAGCAGATCACAGGAGCTGTCTTCATAGACCTGTCAGTGGCTTATGATACTGTGAACCACTGCCTCCTCCTGAGAAAAATGTATAATATCACAAAGGACTACCACCTCACCCGCCTCATAGGAAACCTGCTACAAAACAGGAGCTTTTTTGTTGAGTTCAGGGCCAGAGAAGCAGATGGCGGAAACAGAAGAATGGCCTGCTTCAGGGGAGTGTGCTTGCTCCATCCATGTTCAACATCTACACAAATGACCAGCCACTGCCAGAAGGGACAGAGAGTTTCATCTATGCTGATGATCGTGCCATTACTGCTCAAGCAGGGAGCTTTGAGATGGTTGAACAGAAGCTCTCTGAAGCTCTAGGTGCTCTATTACAGGGAAAGCCAGCTGATCCCTAACCCATCTAAAACACAGACATGTGCCTTTCACCTTAGGAACAGACAAGCATCCCGAGCTCTGAGGATTACCTGGGAAGGAATCCCACTGGAGCATTGCAGCACACCCAAATACCTGGGAGTCACTCTGGACCGTGCTCTGACCTACAAGAAGCACTGCCTGAACATCAAGCAAAAAGTGGGCGCTAGAAACAATATCATACGAAAGCTGACTGGCACAACCTGGGGATCACAACCAGACACAGTGAAGACATCTGCCCTTGCGCTATGCTACTCTGCTGCTGAGTCTGCATGCCCAGTGTGGAACACATCTCACCACACTAAAACAGTAGATGTGGCTCTTAATGAGACATGCCACATTATCACAGGGTGTCTGCACCCTACACCACTAGAGAAATTACACTGCTTAGCCAGTATTGCACCACCTGACATCCGCCGGGAAGTAGCAGCCAATAGTGAAAGGACCAAGGCAGTGACATCTCCAGCTCATCCCTTGTTTGGGTATCAGCCAGCACGTCAATGACTTAAATCAAGAAATAGTTTTCTTAGATCTACAGAGACACTCGCTGGAACACCTCAGCAAGCGAGAGTCCAAAAGTGGCAGGCTCAAACCCAGCACCTCAATCCGTGGGTGATACCAGATGAGAGACTCCCCCCTGGGCACACAGAAGACTGGGCGACTTGGAAGGCGCTGAACAGACTGTGCTCTGGCACCACGAGATGCAGAGCCAATCTTAAGAAATGGGGCTACAAAGTTGAATCCACGACATGCGAGTGTGGAGAAGAGCAAACCACAGACCACCTGCTGCAATGCAACCTGAGCCCTGCCACATGCACAATGGAGGACCTTCTTGCGGCAACACCAGAGGCACTCCAAGTGGCCAGATACTGGTCAAAGGACATTTAATCAACTACCAAGTTTGCAAAATCTGTGTTTTTTATAGTTTGTTTGTTTTGTTCTGTTAGAAATGTAATACAATGGTATGGTTGCTGATGACATGATAAATAAATAAAAATAAAATGCTGCTGTAGAGAAGAATCCACACTTAAATTGTTTGGGCAGAAAGGCAGAAGATGAAGCTGTGTGGTCATATTGTTGTTGTTGTTCTGTGTCAAATACATTCCCAATTCATGGTGATCCTAACATCGGGATTACTTGGCAAGATTTATTCAGAGAGAGTTTGCCTTTGCCTTCCTTTGAAATTGAGAGAGTGGGAATTGACCAAGATTGCCCAGTGGGTTTCCATGGCTGAGTGGGGATTCAAACCCTAGTCTCCATAATCTTAGCCCAAAGCATGTTGGCTGATTCATTATGCCACTAAATTTATACCGACATATGCCAAAATTCACTCACAAAATTTAGATATTACAAAAGCATTTACAAATCTCATAGGTGGTTTTCAACATGGAATTCAGACATGTGCCTTTCATCTCAAGAACAGAGAAGCATCCCGAGCTCTGAAGATCATCTGGGAAGGAATCCCACTGGAGCATTGGGAGTCACTCTGGACAGTGCTCTGACCTACAAGAAGCACTGCTTGAACATCAAGCAAAAAGTGTGTGCTAGAAACAATATCATACAAAAGCTGACTGGCACAACCTGGGGATCACAACCAGATGCAGTGAAGACATCTGCCCTTGCGCTATGCTACTCGGCTGCTGAATATGCATGCCCAGTGTGGAACACATCTCACCACACTATAACAGTGGATGTGGCTCTTAATGAGACATGCCGCATTATCATGGGGTGTCTGCGCCCTACACCACTGGAAAAATTACACTGCTTAACCGGTATTGCACCACCTTACATCCGCCGGGAAGTAGCAGCCTATAGTGAAAGGACCAAGGCAGTGACATCTCCAACTCATCCCCTGTTTGGGTATCAGCCAGCATGTCAACGACTTAAATCTAGACATAGTTTTCTAAGATCTACAGAGACACTTGTTGGAACACCTCAGCAAGCGAGAGTCCAAAAGTGGCAGGCTCAAACCCAGAACCTCAACCAATAATTGATATCAAATGAGAGACTCCCCCCTGGGCACACAGAGGACTGGGCGACTTGGAAGGCGCTGAACAGACTGCGCTCTGGCACCACAAGATGCAGAGCCAACCTTCAGAAATGGAGCTACAAAGGAGAGGAGCAAACCACTGACCACCTGCTGCAATGCAACCTGAGCCCTGCTACATGCACAATGGAGGACCTTCTTGCGGCAACACCAGAAGCACTCCAAGTGGCCAGATACTGGTCAAAAGACATTTAATCAACTACCAAAATCACAAATTTTGTATTTTGTCTGTTTGTTTGCTTTGCTCTTTTAGAAATGTGATATAATTGACTAGTTACCCTGACACGACAAATAAAATAAATAAATAACATGGAATTAATCTCTTTGCCAAAAAAGGGGATGATGTATACCCTCATCACTTGAGATGCATCATTGAACAGGCCAAGTCTTTGTAGAGCTGCCCCTATTGAGGTCAATTAGATCTGAACATGCCTGAAACTCTCAGGTCCCATCCACATCACTGAAAGTGCATCTCAGTTACCTCATTTCAAAATAATTTTTGTTCATTTTATAGAAAGATTCTGTAGCTGAACTATGAGATATAGAGTTGATGGCTTTCTAGAACTCCTTTGGCAAATTCATCCTATTTGAAACTCTGGACTTAAGAGTGGACACCTGGATTTTTGACATCATTTCTTTCTGAAACAAATAACCCCATGCTAAAAGTTCAAATAAAAATTACATAAAATGGATTTTGAATACTTCACTAACAAAAATACAAGCATTTATCAAAAAGAGCATCCTACTTAGAAACCAACTGCTACTTTCTAGGGAAGCTTGTGCTATAATTAAGGACTAATTTTGAAGCACCACCAAACTTTTTATTCCTCTTATGAGTGAGAAGCATTCATAGCAGCAACTCCGTAATTTCATGCAGTTGTTTACTTCACATTTCTTCCATTGTTGTCACCATTTTTTTTGCCTTAATGTTGACTTATGGCAACCCTATCCCAGGGTTTTCTTGGCATGTTTTTAAGCTGAGAGAGTGTGAGCTGGCCAAGGTTACACAGTGGATTTCTACAAATGAGCAGAAATCCAAGCTATTATTTCCCAGCCCGAATCCAACACCCAAACTATTACCCAGAGGCGACCCTAGGTAATTTTCGATGGTAAGCAAACAATATTTTGGCGCCCCCCCCCCAACCAATCACTGATATATATTTTCTGTTCGTCGTTGGAGTTCTGTGTGCCATATTTGGTTCAATTCCATCATTGGTGGAGTTCAGAATGCTCTCTGATTGTAGGTGAACTATACATCCGAGTAACTACAACTCGCATATGTCAAGGTTTATTTTCCCCCAAGAGCACCTCAAGACCGCCYCTGGGCAAAATCAACTATACTGCAAATGCTTTCTTTGTGTAATGGGTTAAGCCGCCCCTGCTATTACCCCATGCTATATTTCATAGAATCATAGAATCAAAGAGTTGGAAGAGACCTCATGGACCATCCAGTCCAGCCCCCTGCCAAGAAGCAGGAATATTGCATTCAAATCACCCCTGACAGATGGCCATCCAGCCTCTGTTTAAAAGCTTCCAAAGAAGGAGCCTCCACCACACTCCGGGGCAGAGAGTTCCACTGCTGAACGGCTCTCACAGTCAGGAAGTTCTTCCTCATGTTCAGATGGAATCTCCTCTCTTGTAGTTTGAATTTCTTTCCATTATTTGAGGAAGTTCCCTTAACAAGTGAATAAAAAGACCACAACTTTTACTTCAGTCTCATCGAAAGCAACTCTAACACAGATTCATATTGATCTATATCTGTGACTTCAAGCTAATAAGCCACACATGTCCTGAATGGAATATATCTAATTTTCAGAACAAGGAAAGCAAGTTTTCTGTTTTGCAGGCTGTTCTTTTCATGTGACCCTCACCAGATTCTAGGAAAAAATTCAGTACATGGAATGTAAAATGATTGTGATTATTCCCTCCGAGGGTTGCTGTGAAATTCTTGCCGGTTTGAACACAGGCGAGCCCCATATGTTCCTCTCTAAAGAAGCTTATTTGCATTTTGTCTTTAAACAAATTGCTCAGACACTCCCCAAAGTTTCTTGTTTGTAAATTGTTAGCTTGGCAAACGAGTCACATACACTGTCACTAGATTCAACAGTTTCTAAACAGTTCCATTAATTTTGTGATATATTATCAGTCAAATTATTAAATATCACACATAAGCAATATCTGTGCCACACTTACTGTCGGGGCCAATGGAGCCAAGTCCACCAGCCTGTAGACATTCACTTCTGAGTCATTCAGGGCACCTAGGATTTGGCTGCAGTTGAAATCCGTTGTGGGGAAAAGATGCCTCTTCGGAGAGACTACGCATTCACATGGGTAAAACCAAGAGAACTCTGCCCCCTCCCCACAATGTCACCAAACCAAAATTCCCTTTCAGTGAAGCTTTTTAATCAGCCCACTTTCTTCCATTTTAAACTTTCCAAAAAGACGGCCTCTCTCTTTTCTGAATCTGTGCACAATCCAATGGGGATTCTCCCCCCTCTGTAAAGCCTCAGCATCCTTTTCTCCGTGTCTAAGCTCAGCAATAGGCAGCAGTAATAGAAACAGCTTTCCATTTAAATATAAGAGCCTGCAGGTTTTGCACATGCCCACTGAGATCCTGATTTGTCCCATGCAAATTCGAGGCAGCAGCTTAACTCTTCCTTCAAAGCCACAGAGGTTTCAGTAATGGATCACATGTATTAACCCCACACAAAACTGAGATGTGGACACCCCAAAGTCAGGTGAAATACAAGAGAAGGATGGGTTGAACTTCTTACAAGCCAGACACATTTTTGTCTGTTTTGAAGTATGTAAACATGCATCTAGTGACAATTTTGCATCACTGGGTCGTTGTAGGTTTTCCGGGCTATATGGCCATGTTCTAGAGGCATTTTCTCCTGATGTTTCACCTGCATCTATGGCAAGCATCCTCAGAGGTAGTGAGGTGACCCTCTACCTCTGAGGATGCTTGCCATAGATGCAGGCAAAACATCAGGAGAAAATGCCTCTAGAACATGGCCATATAGCCCAGAAAACCAACAACAACTCAGTGATTCCAGCCATGAAAGCCTTCGACAATACATTAGTTTTGCATCAGTTTGCTTTTACCTGAAAACAACATTTACTCTGGACAGAGAAACATAAAAAACATGATTCAGTCAGAATTAAGTACTTTTAGAAGTTTCATTTTTATTTCAATCAATAGAGTCTAGCATGTGTTTAAACACCCCAACTTTAGAACATTTAGCTTTGTCTGAATTGGACCCAAAGTATCAAATGAACTCTACTACAAAGCTGTTTGTGTATGTCTTAATGAGTGCTGAAAATCTAGGTCAAAATTATCATTTCACCAGAGGAGGAAGAAATACTTACATGTTGTAACATTCAAGCATTAAAGGAAAAGAAACAACATTGTGACTCATGATAGGCATTACTGTTACATTTCTGTAGAGGAAACGTGTTCATGATGCATAAGTAATATGTTTTAAAAGTTCAAATTCTGCAAAATACAACATTATCCCAAACGATCTCTTAAAACACAAGTAGGAAACATGCAGTTCTAATGTTCATGGACTGCAAATCTCAATAATCCCAACTAGTCTAATCAAAAATGAAGAATGATGAGAGTGGCATTCTTATAACATCTAAAGCAGAGTTTTTTGAACTGTGCCCATGGAGCCCTTGGGGCTCCATGGGTAATATTGAGGGGCTCTGCAGCACCATGCTGCTTTCTACCTCCTTCTCTTTCCTCCTCCTGAGAAATGTGGGGAAATTATAGTTTGAGGTGTTGGAATAGCAGCAGCTGCATCCTCACAAGCACAGACTCTTTCTCTCCCACCTCCCTTGATGCTCAGACTCTTTTCCTTGCTAACTAAATCCTCCCTCCATGCCCTGCTTTCTTTGCATCCAAAGCCCTATTTCCCTTCCACTGCTCAGGGAGTGCTTTGATTGTGTTTTTCCTGCATGGCAAAGGGTAGTTGAACTGGATGGCCCCTTAGGTTTCTGCTATGACTACTACTACTACTACTACTACTACTACAAAGGCTGGGAGGCCCTCTGTTGGGGTGCTTTGATTGTATTTTCCCTGCATGGCAGAAGGGGATTGGAGTGGATGACCCCCTGGGGTCTTCCACTGAAATACTTTTTAGTTTATGTTGGTTAAAATTATTCTTCATTTTAAATATTGTATTATTTCTTTATTTATTATTATTCAAACATATATGCTGCCACTCCCCTGGGGCTCAGAGCGGCTTACAAGAACAGGCTAAAATCTAACATAATTTAAAAACAATTTGAAACAATTTAAAAACAGCAATATCAAAGGCCTGTCGAAACAGATATGTCTTACATGCCCTGCGGAAAGCTGATAAGTCCCGCAAGGCACGGACTTCGGGTGGCAGAGTATTCCAGAGTGATGGTGCCACTGCTGTAAAGGCTCTGTGTCTGGTTGCTGTTAGACGCAATGTCTTGACATTGGGAATTTCCAACAAATTTGGTCCTCAGAATGGAGGGATCTCTGGGGTTGGTAGGGTAGGGGGTTGGTATTGTTCTTTGGGGGGGGGGGTGTACTATGTGAATTAGTTCACACAAATAGTCTCCATCCGTCACTGGCCAGGCCCATGACTTATATATATCCATTATATATAATATAAGATATAAACATTTATTGGGGCTCCACAAGAAAGATTTGCTTCAAAAAGGGCTTCATGGCTGAAAAAGTTTGAGAACCACTGATCTAAAGGATTCTGTGAGTAAACTCATTTGTAAAATAAATGAATTAAATGTTATTTGCAGCACCAAAAGATGGCCTGATAATATTGCAATGCTCAAAGGAAGGTCAATATGCATTCACACTCAGGGCTTCCTCCCCTGAACCAGGGGGATCCAGCTGTGGAATCTTGTTGCTTTCTCCTTTGTTATTTGATCCTAATTTACTTATGAGTATTAGTCCTGACTTGTAGCTTTCTCCTGGTTCTGCCTCTTGATTTGCCCTTAGTTCTGAGTTCCATTTTGATCCTGATTTCAGGTATGTTCCATGTTTGCTAACTCACATCAGAGTTAAGCTACATTAAGTCACCTGCTAATAAATGTCTCTACATCTTGTTCTGTAGTAGCTCAGACTAAGAGTGCATCCATCTTCGATGGAGAGGTACCTGTTCTGCAAGCACAACTTGTCAGCTGTAAAACTATGCTGCTACTAGAGCAGCCTTCACCCAACCTGGTGCCATCTGGATATGTTGGGTTAAAGCATCAATTTTCCCCAGGCAACATGCCAATGAAGGATGTTAGGAGTTACAAACCAAGGAAGAAGACAGGTCTGGAGGACATGCTAAAGAAACAATTTTCCTTGTCTTCTAAGGTTAGCGCTCCTTTAGAAAGTCATAGACCTGTGAAGTGAGGAGCAAGAGACTGAATAACATCTGGCCAATTAGCAGCTACCCAAATATCACAACCATGCTTAATCGCTGCTGTCATGGTTCCTCAGCCTCACCGCCACCCTGGTCGCTGCCTGATTGACCTTAATTACCATCATTAAATTTAGCTGTAAAAATAGACAGTGTTAGCTATTACTGGAAACTCTTTTCTGAGCAGAGAGAAATCATACTGTAACAGAGAAAATTGGGCCTTGAGGGACCTAGCTGGAGATTGCAGTTCTTACATTACTTACAGACTATAGGCTACGAAACTAAACTGTTTTCCCCCCCATGTGAATGGATAGCTCTGCCATAGCATCCTTCCATCATGTTACTGATGTACTGCAAACAAAAAAGCAGATGTGCTTTATCATAGAAAATGAATAAAACCTGGAAGTTCACCCCAGTCTCTTGTGAGATTTCTGTCTGGCCCCTAATTATACAGATCAGCCTCCCAATCTTGGAGATTAACTACTGTCGCATGTTGGAAAAGAGCAATGAATGAGCACGTGCTTTGCCTGCAGAAAGCCCAAGATCAATCCTGATCATTTTAAATTGATAATGAATAAAATATGAATAAAATAAGATAAAACACCAACATAAAATGTGAAAAGAGACTGTTCCGGCATCTAGTGCACTGAAATTGTGCTAGGCTATGCTTCCAATCATCACCTGTCATCAAGGCTCTGGATTCTGGGATCTGAACCAGGAAGGGAACACTGGAATAGATAAGATAGATGGACAAACAATTTAACTTGTTTGCTTGTTTGACATATATTCCAGTTTATTTGAAAAAATAGACTCAAAGCCAAAAACAAGATTAAAGATAGCTAGAGATAAAAGCATATTCAGAGTTAGAATGTAAAAATGCAATGAAACCAAATGCAAGATATATTGTTGGTCCTACTGGTCAGTCGTAAGGCCGAACAGGGCATAGGGTTACAGCCTGTGTTAGACGGGGTTACACTCCCCCTGAAGACGCAGGTTTGCAGCTTGGGAGTGATCCTGGACTCATCACTGAGCCTGGAGCCCCAGGTCTCGGCGGTGGCCGGGAGAGCTTTTGCACAATTAAAACTTGTGCGCCAGCTGCGCCCGTACCTTGGGAAATCGGATCTGGCCACAGTGGTCCATGCTCTTGTTGCATCCTGATTGGATTACTGCAATGCACTCTACGTGGGGTTGCCTTTGAAGACTGCTCGGAAACTCCAACTAGTCCAGCGGGAGGCAGCCAGATTGCTCACCGGAGCGGCATACAGGGAGCATACCACCTCCCTGTGGGGGGGGGGGGGGGGGGGGGGGGGGGGGCTTGGGGGGCTTCAGCCCCCCCCCCCCCGAAATTCTCATGGTGGTTCGCGAAAAGGCCTTACTGGTGCATTATTTAAACTGTTATGTTTATTCATATCATGATCTGATCACCATACTCAATATATCCCATATGCATGGGGGTATTGGGGTAATGATACAAAAGGTTTGCTAGGGTGGACCCTCTTTCACTCAGACTCAGCCCCCCCCAAAACAACCCCGACATTTTTTTACCCCCCCCCCCCCCCCGAAACGAAATCCTGGCTACGAGCCTGCCTGTTGTGTCAGCTCCACTGGCTGCCGATCCAATCCGAGCACAATTCAAAGTGGTGGTTTTGACCTACAAAATGCTATACGGTTCCAGCCCAGTGTATCTGTCTGAACAGATCTCCCTCTACGTCCCACCTCGGAGTCTAAGATCTTCTGGGGAGGCCCTGCTCTCGACCCGCCTCTATCACAAGTGAGGCTGGCGGGGACGAGGAGCAGGGCCTTCTCGGTAGTGGCCCCTCACCTGTGGAACTCACTCCCCGGGGAGATTAGATCAGCGACTTCCCTTTTT